CGTAATCCTCCAGGAATTACAAATTTACATCATTACCAGGTAGATTTATTCTACTCTATCATTGATTTACAACTTCAAGAATTGAATGATCGTTTTTCGGAGGTAAACACCGAGTTACTCCTTTGTGTAGCGAGTTTATGTCCACAAGATTCATTTTCTTCTTTTGACAAGAAATGCTTGATTCGACTTGCTGAGTTATATCCATTAGACTTCTCAATAATTGATCTCCTTGTACTTAATGATCAACTTGAGACTTATATTTTTTATATGCGTTCACACAAAGACTTTGAAGGGTTGAATGACCTTGGTGATCTTGCGAAGAAGTTAGTCCTCACAAAGAAACATAAGGTATATTTATTGGTTTACAAACTTTTAACTTTAGCATTGGTTCTACCGGTTGCTACCGCTACTGTGGAGAGAGTCTTTTCTACAATGAGCGTTGTTAAGGATAGATTGCGTAATCGGATGGGTGATCAGTAGTTGAATGATAGTATGATTGTTTATGTCGAGAAAAATATATTTTTGAAACTCGATAATGAAATTATTGTACAACGATATCAAAGTATGAAAACTCGCAAAGAACAAGTGTAATATATCAGTTGTGTCGTTTTTAGTATTCTCGTACTATTGTTTTATTTTTATCTTCATTCAATCCATGACCAAAAACTCAACAATGTTTGGCGTCGAAGAAAAAATGCCCGCACTGAATATAAATCCTGGCTCCGCCCCTGTCTCCAACCGTTACAAATCACGCCTACCCTCAACTATTAATCGTGTAATTTTTAACCATTGCATGTAATATATTTTAACTATTTAGTATTTATAAAAGGTCCATATAAAGTTTGACATAAGGTCACCAAAATTTCAAGACCGATTCAGCATTATTGATGCATTAATGGCTGCCAACTTCCCATCTAACTAAGGGTTTTGCATTATCGTTTATCCCAATGATGAATTCATTTATGTGACCGTTGAAAAGTCACGCCTACCCTCAATTATTGTCTCGAATACACGAAGAGTAAGGAATGCTATTAAGAAGCTCGTGTTGGAAAATTTCCTTAAAAGTGCAAATAAATAGGTTGAAGACTAGAATTTTTGAATGCATTGTCATATAACAACCGAAGGTACAAATAGGTTGTTAGGGTCCCAGACAACATTAGCTTCATTAAACCAATTGTTGTTTTCATACTGTATATGTTGTGAGTCTAACGTAGAAACACAAGGTGTGGATCCGTTCACTTGTACCATATTCATATCCATATCGTTTGTAAGCAATTCACCATTGGAATTACTTGGGTAAGACAAGTCCAAAGCAGCTTGAGATGCATGAACTAGTGGCCAGGCAGTATTGATGACAGTCAAGCTCGACTCGTCATGTACTCGACTCTTCTGTGATGCCCAAGGTATGTCGAGCTCGTTCGAAGTCATGGCAACAAGATTATTGCTGTCATGAAGCTGCACTTTAATAGAATCATGGTCATTTGGCATCAAATTAGTGATGTTTTGAGTTGGATTGGAAACCCGAGTGGCTTCTAAAGATTGTCGACTACTTTTCGCGTTATTTGGATACGAATTCAAAGCTCCAAGAAAGTTCAATTTCATGTTAGATGAAGAGTTGCTCTTTTCATTAGATAGCTTGGCCTTGAGTGCACCAATAAGCCCCTCAGGCTCTTCTGTCTTGCACATTGCATCGAAGGAAAATGACTCCATATTCTCAAACAGGATAGAATCAGATTCAGCCTGAGACAATTCAAAGTTGGTGCGGGCGTTTGCTCCTCTGAGCTGACGCGCTGCATTATCATAGGCTCGTGCTGCATCTTCGGCCGTGTCAAAAGTCCCGAGCCACAGTCTTACCTTTTGTAGGGAGTCTTTGATCTCAGCCACCCATCTTCCCGATGGCCTTTGGCGAACTCCAATGAACTTTTTTTGTTCGGATGACGTTTTCTTTCTGCTGCGCACGCCTTGATCGGTTGTTGGTGTCTGCTTCATGTAGCCTATATAACTAAGTGATCTTTGGTTTGAACCTGTTGGCGTGGTAGTTTCTTACCTTTTCTTTCTTGAACCACTTGAGATACTGTGGAGAATTCTTATATCAAGGAAAGGAAGAGAAGGGATATGCAAACATTTCACAAGTAGACAGAGTGCTACATGCCAACTACAGCATGTAATAGTTGATAATGACGCAATTTCGATATCATCAATCTACGCCTTGTTAATTCCGTCGAGGATGAACTGTAAAGGGAGTGTATTCAATTGAAACTTCTAATGACTTTTTGAAATTTAAAAAGTTTAAGGGTATTCATCGTAGACTTTTGAAGACTCTTTAAAAGTATTAGTGTATTCAATTAAAATTTTTATGAACTTTTAAAAAGTTTATAAAAGTCACGGTGTATTCAAGTAAATTTTTTTAGAAGTCTATAAATTTTGACGTATTCAAATTTTTATGACTTTTAGAAACTTTTATACTCCATGATACTAATTTTTAATCAGAAAGTACTAAAATAAAATCTCAAAATTTATCTCTCATTAATCACAAGATTTTGGAAGACTTTCACATAATAAACAAAAGAAATTAATATGTATTTTTTTTTAATATTTCTCTTTTCTTTTCCTTTTGACCTTTTTACGAACATTAAAGTTGGGGTAGGGGTGGTTTGGGAGGGGGAACATTAAAGTTGGGGTAGGGGTGGTTTGGGAGGGGGGTCAAAGGAAGGAAAATGGAGAATTGTGATAATCATCACCTCGTATGTGATAATTTCATAATATTATATTAGATCCACATAAATTCTATCTCACACGAAAGTTTTTAAAAATCTTTTGAATTCTACAAAAGTCTCTAAAAATTTTAAAATGAAAGTTTATAAAATTCTACGAAAGATTTCCACTAATGATACAAATCTCTAAAAAAAATTATGAAATCCACGTAAGTCATCACTTAAAAATAGTCCATCAAAATCTTCAAAAGTCCCGAAATTTGCAGGGATCAAAGAAAAAGCCATCCTATAAATACTATAAACCGATTAAAGGAATTAACGTTAATGAAATTGGTTGGGTTCACAATTTAAAAAGTTATATATAGAGAACAAGGAAAAGAAAAAGAGACAATAACCACAATTCGGATGACGTTTTCTTTCTGCTGTTCACGCCTTGATCGGTTGTTGGTGTCTGCTTCATGTAGCCTATATAACTAAGTGATCTTCGGTTTGAACCTGTTGGCGTGGTAGTTTCTTACCTTTTCTTACTTGAACCACTTGAGATACTGTGGAGAATTCTTATATCAAGGAAAGGAAGAGAAGGGATATGCAAACATTTCACAAGTAGACACAGTACTACATGCCAACTACAGCATGTAATAGTTGATAATGTTGCAATTTCGATATCATCAATCTATGCCTTGTTAATTCCGTCGAGGATGAACTATAAGAGGGTGTATTCAATTGAAACTTTTAATGACTTTTTGAAATTTAAAAAGTTTAAGGTATTCATCGTAGACTTTTGAAGACTATTTAAAAGTATTAGTGTATTCAATTAAAATTTTTATGAACTTTTAAAAAGTTTATAAAAGTCACGGTGTATTCAATTAAATTTTTTTAGAAGTCTTTATAAGTTTTGAGGTATTCAAATTTTTATGACTTTTAGAAACTTTTATACTCCATGGTACTAACTTTTAGTCAGAAAGTACTAAAATAAAATCTCAAAATGTATCTCTCATTAATCACAAGATTTTGAAAGACTTTCACATAAAAAACAAAAAAAATTAATATGTATTTTTTTTTTCAATATTTCTCTTTTCTTTTCCTTTTTACGAACATTAAAGTTGGGGTAGGGGTGGTTTGGGAGGGGGGGCAAAGGAAGGAAAATGGGGGAATTGTGATAATCATCACCTCGTATGTGATAATTTCATAATATTATATTAGATCCACATAAATTCTATCTCAAATGAAAGTCTTTAAAAATCTTTTGAATTCTATAAAAGTCTCTAAAAATTTTAAAATGAAAGTTTATAAAATTCTACAAAAGATTTCCACTAATTCAATACAAATCTCTAAAAAAAATTATGAAATTCACGTCAGTCATCATTTAAAAAAAGTCCATCAAAATCTTCAAAAGTCCCGAATTACCCCTAGATTTGTAGGGATCAAAGAAAAAGCCATCCCATAAATACTATAAACCGATTAAAGGAATTAACGTTAATGAAATTGATTGGGTTCACAATTTTAAAAGTTATATATGGAGAACAAGGAAAAGAAAAAGAGACAATAACCACAAAAAAAAAAAATGCAAAGACAAGACAAGACAAAAGGTTGTTCTTGAAATTCACTCTTGGTTCAAGCCCCAGGAGCTGCATCCTTTGTTTTTCCTTGCCAATACTCGCCGTACTCTTTGGCGTAATCCTTCATGTGGCTCGCCGTATCCGCAATTCGGCTTCTGGCGTAATCGACCCTATCGGAACCAGGCGGGTGGAACCCTCTGAAATACCTATACAGCCAAGAAATGACCGCCACAACACCAATCCCAAACCCCAAAAAGGAAAGAAATCCAGCACTGACGAGAAAGATGATTGTTCCAGCGGGGACCCATATGGGGCTAGAAATGAGGATCAAAGGCGTGAAGAAAATAAGCCCAAGAACCGTAATAGTCAATGTTAGGCCAGTAAGAAGAAGCAAAATGACACCAGAGATGACAAGGGTCATGAACCCAACGAGTTGGGTTGAATTTGGGGAATGCTCCTGCAGTTTATGTAGAAAGGATCTGGTATTACTGCCTCTTGCATGCTGCTGCCTATAAGACTGATCCGCCATTGTCGAGTAACTTGGGTGGGGGTGGAGATTTGGTTTACATGAAGAAGAAGAAGCAGTAGTAGTGAGGTGTGGGAGAAATGAAGGGAATGGGGACACGTGTGTTGTTGTTTTCATGCAGTGGCACACGTGTGAGAATGGAGGAGATTTGGAGTTTACCTATACACATGTTGAAACTCAATACTTTTTCTTCTCGAGATTTGTGGGACTAATCCAACGGCCATTCAAGTGCTCTTTGGTAGTGTAGTACACTATGGTGTTCCTTGGCCGTAGGATCCAAGATGTTGTACTTTAGAATTATATTTAACCCCCTGAAGTTTTGAGTTAAAACCATTAATACATCCCTCAATCTTCGTACATAATTGCAGTGATCTTACATTATTTTTTGAGATTGTATGTCGTTGTTTTTATGAATATATGACTGCAAATTACTATAGAATCTTTCCTTTATAACTATTAGTTATTGTCACAATTGTCAACCATCACTAAGAGCACACCAGAACAAAATTTTTAGATGTGTTAAGTGAAGGAAATGAAGAATAGAACAAATAAAACAGGGTACTTCTAGCTCTAATTTCGGATGAACTTCTCTCAACTATTTGATAATAGAATATGACGGCCACATCAAGCTCTCCTTTACATCCTATGTATCTCCATCATTACTACCATGTTATAGAGAATATTATGTATCTTCGTTTAAGGCTGCAACCATTAGTCCAATAGAAGATTGCACACACACAAAGCAGTGCTCAGTTCGAAATACTAAATGTGGACAGCATTGAACACTAGAATGTACGAGATTTTTAACGTTTCCTTTCTTTTATAATATTATTCAATACCATATAATCCACACTATCAAACATGAAATAAAACGACAATAGCAATCGAGAAGATTTTTCCTATACTATTTCAGTTTTACTTTCGTTGTATAAATCTGCTGAGTGAATCAGACTCAAAGCTGTCCAGTGGCGTTGTATATCATCTATTGTGGCAAGTTGTTGTTGATACTTGTTTTCTAGATAGAAAGATGAGACTTCTTTCACGAAGTTCTCGTTCTTCTTGATTGCCCGGATCTCCATAAAATAGCAGAAGGGTCTGGACAGATTTGGTATTGGATTTTCGGACGAGGAACTTCAGGGACACTGCAACACCATCCATCAATTCAAATAATTTACATGCTCTTATCATTAAAACTTAATGTTGAAACTTTCATATTCACCGCTAAGGTCTTGATGCTATCTAAAAAGAATATAGAAGTTGGGGTTCTGTTTTCTTATTTGGGTTATTCAATATTTATCTGTTACAATATACATGTACGTAATAAGATCAATTCTTGAGAACAACATTACAAGAGTAATAGCAAGGAGAAGGATTCATAATCCAGAGTTAATATATACGAAAAACAACAGTCGACACGATGACAATTACAAATACAAGGCAGTGACATGAACCTATCTCATTTAGCATTTTGTCCTTCTGCTTCTTATATCATTCCTCTATTTTTACTAGCACCCCAGTTGACTCGAAAAACATTCCATTTCGTGGTGGAGTACGTGCTCAAATTCATCAAGCAAATGATGCTATTACTAGGAAATCATAATATGCCCCCTGTTTGAGCCTCATTCTTTGAGAATAGATTTTGTAAAGAAGTGGTTTTTTTTTTTTTCGAATGCATGGTTAAAAAGTAGTTAAGAGTTTACGTGCAAAATTATTTTATTGGGAGAATGTGTGGTTGAAATAAGCTTTAAAGAATGGGGCTCAAACGGGGGCTATATCTCAAATGATATTAGTCAGTTCTTTGTGTTCATACAAGTTGCACAAATTACAGCAAAACCTTTAAACCATAGAACTTGTTGCAATGCTGTTTGATAATTCTTCAAGAATATAGAGTTTGCAACTTTTCCTCAAAATTGTCCACACTCGTAATAAAGGACATAGGGGCAAGTTTGAGAAAAATGTAAATTAGGTGAATAATTTGCATTTTAAAAATTACATCACTAAACATTATTTATTCTCAGTATAAAAGGTTAATAAAGTACCAATGTAGCATGCATTTCATTGCTATTACTCACAATCGCATGTAATTTTGAACATCTACTTAAAATATCCTCTTGTTGACATTAGAGTCGTTATCGTGAGAAAACTCAATTTCCAAATGCCTCACTAGACCAACTGAAATTGACTACCCTAAGCCCCCGCCACCCCCACACACGCACAGACTAAACAGACATATAGAGCCATAAAGACCGTGACCATGATGAGCAGACATCTGTATTGTATGGAGTGGATCAAGAAAATAATTAAAATCTTACCTCAATGTAGCTATTTCTATCTGGGAGAAGTCCATGTTTATAGAACTATCTTGTAAAGAAATTGTCCTCGTTGTTAGTGCTGTTGGTTGCTTGATGGCAAGAACCTTACAGTTCAAATTGAAAGCAACGCTGTTCTGGGCCATTACCAACCTATAACAAGAGATGGAAGAAGAGCGACAATGGTCTAAGTACAATTACAGATAAAAATGAAGGGAAAAAAAACTACTGAAACCTGGGCCATGGTGGCAAAATATCAAGCTTTATAAACGTTTGATATTCAACATGAAGTTAATTAGAACTAATCGAGCTGGTAAAGTCTACATACATTACTGAATACTCATATTGTAGGAAGCACTGCATATAATGATACTTGAACAAAGGCAAAATCAACAAGTATAGTTACCCTTAACTTTTAAATATCTTAATTCCAAACAAGAAGCATGTTAAATTTATATTCATTAATAAGGCCATCTTTGTTTAGTATTAAGTTTCTCCGTTCTCTACGTTTTTTTGCCATTTCTAACCTAATTTCAATTTCTAATCGAAAGTTCAAGCAACGCCATTATCCATTCCTTTTGGCAAAACATATAATCCATCAGTCCCACAAAGGATGCAAAGAGTAGTTATACAACAAAGTCAATATTTCATTATCATTAGCTTTAAGTTTTCAAGAAACAATATTGGAACAACAATTGACTACTTCGTTTTAATAATTTGAAACTACAAAAGCTAAAACATTAGTGTTAAATGAAATGGTAAAGTCAAATAAATCATCCTTCGTGGAACAACAGAAGTTCGTCTCCCACTTTTGATTATGATGTGGTTACGTCAACAAAACGTTGATTGTTTTATTACATTGATACTGATTCTAACATTGATTTTGTCTTTTTGAGATTAAAGAATATAGTCTGCCAAAAATAAAAAAATTCTAAAGAAATATTTGGAAGCTAATCATCAACAAATGGATTAACCTAAATTTTACACACTTCACAAATCCATTTCTTGAAATTAAGCCACTTTACGCTGTAAAATATTGTTTCACCAACTAGGATGAAGATGAACAAACTATTATAATCACCAGCCAATAAACAATCAGTAACAATGACGTAGCCCCCAGTTGGACAACCATTAAAATGAGCTTTTTGGAAAAAAAAAAAAAAAAAAGAAGAGTTTTGAAAATTGAAATAGTAATTTTTGGGAGGCAGTTGGACACCATTAAAATGAGTTTTTTGGGGGGGAAAAAAAAGAGTTTTGAAAATTGAAATAGTGATTTTTGGGAGGATGCATAGTTATAAAGTAGAAAAAATAATTGGGTTTTCATGCAAAATAATTTATTGCGAGAATGCGTGGATGAAAATGAATCTGAAAAAAAAAAGGTTTGTTTCAATGGTTGTGAAACAGATTCTTAATTTTCTTTGGGCGTTGGGTAGGAAGGAAAAAGGCAGATGAACGTTGACCAACACAGAGTGGGTGGTCCTACCCAATCGACGAGGGTAGTGTCCTTAATTGAGTGGTTGCGTTGTGATTCGAGTGGACAATCTAGTGCATATAGAACCGTCACATCGAAATTTTTCTCCCATTCGAAACCAATCTGATCAATTCGATAAGTCCAAAACAAATGTTGATATAATTACCTGTATAAAAAGCTCCGATCATGAAGACCCACAACGAGAGTGGAGGCCCCAATTTCTCTCACCATAGCCGCAATTCTTCGACCATCTCTATCCCCTTCCGTCACAACAATCTCAGTCTTTGTCTGCAACAGTCAGTTTGCATCGTAATAATCAATTGGGCCGGCGATTTTGCACGATATACATGTAATTAAATGGGCAAGAAAGATTACTACGTACATTGAGGAAGGAATCGCATATTTCTCTGAAAGAGAGAGCCAATTGGAAGCCATTCAAGCGGAGAAGCCTGAGCTTCTTCTTGCTTTTGGATGTTGTAGTGGTATATACGTGAAGAAGTGTAATCAAATCCCCAAAACGAAGGATATTGTGAAGTGCCCATTGGAGTGCAGTTCTTGCCACATCCACGTCTTCGACAACCACCACTATTTTCTGAGTATCCATTCCCCCTCAGCCCCACCTTTTTCTTTCTCAACCTCTCGTTTCTCAATCACTAAATTACGTACAGGGCTTGATTTACAGAATCGAATGAATTTATTCGTCTTAAGTGTTCTTACAATTAAGAGAAGCAGCTGAATTGTAAATCTCTCCCCCTCCCTCCCTCTCTCTCATGTATGAGTGGACAGGATAATGGGATAGACTAGAAATGTGTTTAAAAACACAGTTAGGCATGGGAGTGGATGGAAGAGAGTTGAAACGCACCCCTTAGACCACGTCTCAGCTCCATTTTCTTCCAAAAACAAAAAAAAATTCAAAATCTATTTTTTCCCAAAAGATGAGGCTCAAACAGGACACAGTTGTACTACATTATTTCATTTTACTGCTTTGTAAATGTGAACCCTAACCCTGTTTGAACCACGTTAAAATTTTCATTTTCATTCTTTTACTTATTTTCAACTGTACATTCTTTAATAAAATAATATTTTATATCACATCAATAATTTTTTGTTATTTTTCAACCACATATTCTCTATCATATCAAACACAAAAATGTATTCTTGGACAAATAATGTGCAACAAACATGAGCTAAATGTATAAATAAGACATAAATCTTTGCGAATGGAAAGAAATAATTCCTAAGAGTCCGTTTGATTGCAAAAATTAAATTTGGGTGGAAAAAAATGAATTTCAAGTAATTGAATTACCTAGAACTTGTTTTACTGGGAATTGTTAATTAATTGTGTTTGATTTGTATAGTTTTTTACCTAAAAAATATTAAAATTTTGGATCTTTTGGTGTTCGTTTGACTTTATTTTCCGTTAAAATTGTCCATTAAAGAGATAGAATTTGTTTCAATTGGCAGAAGAAAAAAAATGTCTAGAAAATCTTTTCCTCAAAAACCAAAAAAATGTGGAAAACCAATTCCATGAAAAATTTAGTTAATCAAACATGCAAAAAGGTGAAAATGGATTTTAATTTCATCTTCCAGGAAAAAAAAAGAGCAATCAAACCGGACCTAATATTATTTTCTTTCGTTATTAATAAAATGTACCATCTAAATTCTAAATGTATCACAAATGTCTAAAAAACAAAAGTTAATATTTTGTTCAAGGAATGTTGGGTTCATTGGACAATCCGCACAAAACACGCTTACAGAAAAACACAATATTCGTGCCAAATTATGGTGATGTCGTGCCATTTTGGACAATATTCTAACGTATCACACACCGTGTAATTTTTAATTAATGTATATTATTAAAAGGTTACTGAACTATAATTAATCCCTGGTCCACTCATTTCATTATTTATTTGAAACCTCGTAATCGTCACTTGCCTTTAATTATTCTTATTCAATTTCACTAATCATATAAAAATGAATTTTCTCCAATTCCAACAATTTTTTTATTTCAGTAATACGTTAAATATAATTCTGGACGGTTTCAAATGAATATTTTGTGTGGTGTGACGAATTTAATAAATTAGAAAAAAAAAATACATTGTAGGCATGCAGTTGCTGAAATCGTCTGTTATCGTTTTTAAATCTTCGATTAGGTGTCATGTCTTATTGTTAATTATTTAAGTGCACCAGTGATGAGAAAATACTGTCACAGAAGTACATGGTTTTGGGGCTTTCCATTTGTCCTTTTGAACCTTTTGTTTGGATGTTCGAAGGGAATATTGATTCCATTTTGGTGTACATGACAAGCTCAAAAACCAGGTATAGTAATTAGAATTTTAGAAGATAAATTAGTTTTGTAAATTCAGATGGAATTTAACTAAGTCGATTGAATAAGCCCCTGTCTTGTAGCCATTTTTTGGCAAAAAAATGTTGTTTTGAATAGTGAATTTTTTAAGAATATGTGGTTACAAAATATGAAAAAAAATTTGAGTTTACGTATAGAATATTTTATTATTTAAATGTGTTGTTGAAAATGAGTATATAGAAAAAGAAAGTTTTGAAAGAATATGAGAAAAATGAGGGCTAAATTAGAACTAAAAGATAATGCTATAATTTTAATCGAGGGTCTACTATTACTCAACTTGGATTGTGCTTATCTGGAGTTCATGGTAAATCGAGGATAAAGTCCATTATAATATTTCTCTGCTTCTATCCGGTGGTTAGGAAGGGGTTGTAAGGTGTGTGCATATTTTTGATCTTCAACTTTCACGTGATAGGAGTGAGAATCTTAACAAAAGTAAAACGAAAGAAATAGAGAAGAGAATACAAGGGTTTAAAATGATCAATTCACCTTATGCAAACACAACAAATAACAATATTATCTTTCTAGGAATATAAATATAAATAAGCTTAATTATAACTAAAAACTTTCAATAATCACCCAACTTAATCGTGATCACGATTTACTCACTAAACTTTAAAGTGTTTCATAGTGCTCACTGAACTTTATACATTTACACTACATTCATCACCCTTAAAAATTTGTTATTTTATTCGCTGACGTGGCTAACGAAAATCTAACGTGGCAAGTTACGGTCGTTAAAAAATGACAACTCAGTCAAGTCATTATTTCATTACTCATCCAACTTATATTTGGTCACAGTTCACTCATCGAACTTCAAAATGCTTACCAATGGTCACTCATCTTTGAGATGTTGCACTCCATTCATCATCCGCCATATTTTGTTACCTTCATTCTTAATGTTCGGACAAAAAATCCACATGGTAAGTTACAGATGTTAAAAAAATTGCAACTTAACTCACCAAAATCGTTACAATGGGCATACTCATTAAGCACTCGAGGTGCTCAAGGCAGCCTTGGGCGTTTTAAATGATAGTAGTAACTATTTATTGTGCACTTTTTTGTTGTTGAAATATGATTTAGTGTGGCCATAAGTGGGTTTGTTCAAATATGGATCGGACTCAACTTGCGGACTGTCTGCATATTGCTTCACAAATAATTGTTTCAATTTTCTGACGAGGAAATTACAAGAAATGTCCACTTTCACATGGTAAAAAATGTCCAAAATTTGTTCAATATCCATTTTGCAATACTTTAGACCAAAATACCCTAGTTAATAATTATAATTCCACACTAAAGACAAATATGTGCATACAATTAAATATTTAGTTGATCAATAAAATTTTGACACATAACCTATTCTACTTATTTCAAATGTATACATATTAAATCACAATAAATGCTATATTTCTCATTGACACGGATAAAAAATATCGAGAACTACAATTCAAATGTCAAGAACTTTATGAAATGTAGATAATTCTCATTTTTGTAACGAAATCTCGTTCTAAATAAATGAAGTATCAAGATGGATAAGGTTTATTATCGATAACAACTTTTAAAATATCGAGAACATCATTTTAATGTAGCTTTTCATGGAAGCTATTTATTCTTCTCGAAATTCATGATAAATTGAGAAAATATTGTTTCGTTTTTCAGTAAGGATATAATAGATAATTTAATACTAAATTTGGTCATTTTTGCAAGAGTTATCAAAATTAAACACTTTTCAATTGACAAGTATTGCAGCTCCAGTTTCCAGATGATTCCACAGCTCAAACTCTGCACAATGATAGAGTTAACTAATTTTGTATAGATTGTAAAGATACAAGTTTGTTAGCTAGATAGTTATGTTAATTAGTTAGTTAGTTAAACATTCTTTGTATTTATATAAACGAATTGTATCATTTCATTTTACATAATACAGAAGATAGAACTTACTCTTCTTTTCAATTCTCTGTTCATCTTCAATAACAAGCATAGAATTAGTCATTTTTGTAAATTCCTCTTTTCTGATTTATTGTGCAGAGTTGCAGTTCAAAAGATAAGAAGGGCACCTTCTTTGATGATTGGGACCTGTCAGAGTCTGGAGGCTCAGACCAACCTGAGGTTAGTTGGTGTCTTTTTTGGTTCCTTAACCCTATTCTTATCTCCAAATAAATTAATCTACAGTGCTTCATAGTATTTTAATAGATTTTGTTGCTTCTATCTGGCATCTTTTTCATAAAAATATAAATGCTTAGTCAGTATTTTTCCCTTCTAGTGGCCTTTGTAGCTTCACATCTCAATACTTTGAACTAAGATTTTCTCAACGTGGCAATGACTCGAAGTTTTTCCTTCAAAATGATATCATGTGGTGTATTCTCATCTTGAAACCTTCTTAAGATACAGTAAGTGCCAGGCAATAAACATATTACTTTGGCCAAAAGGCAACTGTTTCCTTAAGAATTATGTATATTTGGGTTTGAAGTGGATGCCTATATCTTGTTGTTTATAGTTGTCAATCACATCTTGTGGCATTGCTTCTTCGCTTTTATGCATGCAACTCTTTTTTATGGGACTGAACTCTACCAGAAACAGAATGCAGAACAAAAACATGCTACCTCAGATCAAGATCAGAGCCCAATGCTTAAAGTGATTTTCAATCAACGAAAGCAGATAATGTCAAACTCTATGGAAAAATTCGTTTTGTTCGGAATTACAATTCTGAGAAAGTAATCTACAGAGGACCAAAGAAGGTGCCCAATTGCACTCTGTTTTAAATAAATAACGCACTTCAAATTTGTATTAACGTGAAAGTCTCATCATTTTCAGTTTGCAGAGGACTTGGAAAGTGGTTTTTGCTCTGATGTGGAATCCGAGTATAAGAAAATATACGAGGATGATATTAATCCCTTTGCAGCATTTTCAAAGAAGGTGGCCAATATTTCTTGCTGATCTTTTACTTCTTTTTCCTCGTTTAATTACTTCCTTTTTTTGGTCAATTTTCTACTCTTACAATGTGGTTTTATTTGCTTGGTTTTCTATTTTATTTCCCCGATATTTGACATGTTAGACTGAAGTTTTCGCTGCTCTACACAAACCTCTTTAAATTTGGAACATTCAGAAATAATCATTGTAAATTGCATAGATTGTTTTCAGAGTATATGTCTGCATATTTGTATCGTTATGATGCTTCCAACTTGGGTGAATCTGTTCTATTGAGCAAAAATGCTTCCATGAGATATTTTAACTTTTCTTTAGTAATCATCTGCGAGTTTTACTTGTTTGCTTCCAACCTTGTCGTTTTCACTTTAATTGCTATCCTTTGTGTCATGGACCCTGAGCTCAGCTGAACATAATTTTTTTTATATGTTTGATCTTAATATAGGAAAGAGATCAAAGGTACAAGGAACTGGGATTGAGAGATAAAATTACCCTTAGCAGTGGGCGGTTTCTTCTTGCTAATAAGTATGCTTCCAAAGTCTTTGGACTTGTTTTATTATGATTGTGCTTAATCTATTCTGGTTGCTTCATAAGTTTTGGTGTTTGCAAAGTGATTCTTTTGCTTCTTTTCCTGATCTAATTTGATTCCAGTCTGTGTTGCTTATCTACTCTAATTGTTTCATAAGACCTGTGCTTGCAAAGTGATTCTTTAGCTTCTTTTCCTGATTTACTTCTAACTCTAGTCTCATAAGATTCATGTTGTACCAGCTTTCGCATACCAAATACTACAAACCCTTCATTCTCTTGCAAAAAGAGAATGTGCTGAACCATTGAAGTCATTCTAAGCATACTCCCATAAAGCAGGCGTGTTCTTGAAGAGCCCCTGATAATTCATAAATATGCACCTATTTTAGGACTAGGACCTATTTCTGTTAATTTTAATTACTAATTTTGGAGATGTGAGGTCCAAAACTTTCCTCTCTTTCATATAGACCTGCAGTTAAAAAGTAACTACTATTGCTGCTTCTTGATTACTATAATTTACTCCACTAAACTGTCACATTAACTTGTACCTTATTTGATGCAACCAATGCTCCGAATGACAATCTGGTTTCACACAGGTGTGCTAGAACCTTCGCGTTTTTCTAAACCACTGGATTGCACATTTTAGTGTTCACATGCCTCTACAGGATATCGGCTCTAAGCTACCTCAGGTAACAACATATCAAATTAATCTGTTCTACATGTTGGGATAAGTGACCCAAATTGGGGGTTACCATATTTGATAGACACGTGGTGGAGGAGCTTGGAAAGTATTAAATTGGATCCAATATTTTATGGCAAGAAAATCACCTAGGAATTAGGATACCTTCTAGGCTGCTCCAGTATCTCTGATTCACGTGTTAGTCCATTATTTCCATAATTTTGACATATCCCTAGGGTTTTGTACGTGTAATATTTGTATAAATAGGGATGCTCCTCATTCATTATTTTATAAGCCAATATTGCTAAGTTTTGTAATTTCTCTCCATATTGTTGAATAAAACATCGGTTCCTCTGCCAATTTCTCCTCTATTTTCTTTACTTTAATCTTGTTCTTTTTTTCCTGTGATCTTTATTATTTCAATTCGTCATTAATCTCAATTCCTACGTTCGAGGCGATTTTTCCCAANATATTTATCCGGTGAGTACATATCCACTGAGGGGAAAATATTGCCATGAAATGGCTTTTAGGATCCTTTCTGCTTGCATTGAGCTAATTTATTTTATGAAACTCTCTACTCAAATTATTCAAATATTTATTATCGTGATCTATTTTTGTTCAAAATGAGGGGAAGATAACTATCCTGGATTGTGCGCTGACTTGGAGAATTAGAAGACTTGGATATTCTATAATGGTGGAAATAAAACTGTAGTATTGGAATCTATTTCAGTGCAAGTGGTAGGTATCACTGAAGAAAGATGCATTGCTATTCAACCCTTTCCCTTCAGTTGAGCTTTCTTTAAAATCCAGCCAGCCTACTAAAATTCAAAGAAAGAACTACCAACAGACAGAACAAAGAGCACTGAGAAAGAAACTATTTATGCCAATTCAAGAATAAAAGAGTACCAAAATTAGAAAAAATGCCTCTTTTAATAAATGATGAGTTGAATCGTATAAAACTTGGAAGCATATTTGAAACTTAAACCTGTACCTGGATTACATTACTATTCCATTAACTACTTTTCTACATCCTCTTTAATCCTCTACTTCTATACAAAAAATGTTGCGGGTTCCCATCAAAACCTGACTACAGAAAGGGACCAATTTTTTTATGTTACAACAAAAAGAATAAGCTTTTGATCAAGGTTAGAGCTCTGTACAGGTTTCATAGTGCATTCTGGTCATCTACTAATTCCAACAGCATATCCCCTTGTGAGCTGAATGGGCGGCTATGCTTAAACCATACCAAAAACAACCATGCTTTTAAGCCAAATTTGTTGAACTGAACCTATGGTATCGAAAAATTATCTCCTGAAATGTGCAACTGTGCAAGAGAGGATCCAATGCCTACCTCTGATAAATCATTTGAGGAAAATCCCAGGTCCAACATCAATATCAATTTGCTTCAAGATGGCGAAAATCAGGAGGTCTGCTTATGAAAGTTTCCTCCTTCCTCTGAGTAGTTGAAAAGGATCACATTGACAGCTCAATGCTCTCTTGCACACAACTTTAAGGTTTTGCAAGCTTCATTGGCTAGTCCTCTCGCTCCAGTTTCTTAGATTCCCAAAAGTTAAAAGAACGACATCATAATGCAAGGCACACGGTTGGTCACCTAGTGGCCATTTCAACAGTCTTAAACTGCACCGACTGACCATTGTGGAAGAAACATGAATTCCCAAGAAAATATTACAACAATTCTCAGTCTTTCGAACCCGTCTTTGTTAGATTCATACCCTTTGCATTATCCAACTCAGCATCCTTTTGAGCTTTCTTCTTTTCTAGTTCAGCCTGTTTACCATTCTCTTCATGAGCTTTCCGAAACAACCTCACAAAGTTTGAGAGGGTAGCGGTAACTGCATAAATCATAAAATTAAATCAACTATTTTCCATATCAAGGTCAGACAGAAAAATAAAATATTTCGGTCAACCTTGCTCAAATGGACAGCGGGCAGGATCTTCACCAAAGTATAGAGCCAGTGCGTCTGCATTTAGTCCCTGCCCAACAATAACAATAAAGAGATAGTGTTGCCATTAAAGAGTAACCCCGAGGTCACCATATAGTACAAGGAACAAGAATTCAGTGCAAACTTACCACAATAGAATACAAATTTGTAACGGAGGCCACCTGTGTCTCAGCAACACCAATGAATTGATTTAGCATCTGCAAGGAAAATAAGGATCACTTGTTAGATGGAATAAAAAAGCTTTGTTTCAGAGTGAACAAACGGGACGGACAACCCTTAAAGATGAACAACTAAAAACCAGTTCAAGTTCAATGTCAGAACACTGCAATTGATATGCTCTTTTGTGTTCGTTCAAGAAAATAGATTGATTACATGATTTGTATGGAATGTCACATATACAGTACAATAAAAAATAATGCCAGGCATCAAAATACCTTTCTAAAAGTTTCAGATACAGGACCATCATTCTCAGAAGCAGCCAATTCCTGCTTTACCTTTTCTAATCCCTTGATAATTGCCTGCATTTCTTCTGCTAAAAATTTCAATTGTATCTGCAAAGCAAGGCTTCACTATACAATACCAATTACAGTACCTAAAGACATCATATCATCCATCCATTGGGAGTTAAATACCAACCTTCGAGGCAGCTTCCAGGTTAACAAAATCTGCGTGGAAGTCTAAAAGAGCAGGTGACCTAGATGCAAGAACCTGAGAAACAAGGAGAGAGTGATTCAGACACAAACAATCTCCGTTCTATGTGCCTGATATTATACATCCACAGATTGCCATGGTACATACAACACGTGTCATGAACACATCCTGTGAATTAGGGCAAGGAGAACGTTATTGTAATCACCACTATTGATTATGTAATTTAGAGAATAATGAGTGCGTTGAAATTTCTAGATGTCAAAGATTTTGTGTAATTTAAATTGCTGATAAAAACTGCTGACAATTTTTGCATATCAGGTCATTATTTAACCTCTACTTTAAAAACCATCTGTTTCTCATAATGATTACAAATAGAAAATCTATAAGAAGAAATGATGAGTTATACCTTACAAAGATAATGCATGAGTGTCATCTTGTTGTTAGCACGTGTATCGGCGAGTTTTAAAAGACTGTCCAACTTGAATCCAATAGCAGAACCTGGAGTTGGAAAAAGTTCTCAAATCTGGATGCATTAAGAACTTAAAACTGCTTTCTGCCACTAGCAAAATTGAACTACAAGTTTTAGTTAAGGTACGAAATACTTATTTCAAATATAATTCACCCAAGATCTTAAATAAATTGGGGCAACATGTATTATACCCTAAGGTTGATGAAGATTTTCAAACGAGAAAGAGTAGATTCAAAAGAAGTACACCATAGTCATGACTGCAAATTAAATTTCCATGAGAAAATATCCTAGAGATGTTTCTGATAAAACTTGAAGATATCACGGACAAGCAAAATATAAAGGGTAAAGTTTGGTGAGGGATCTGGATCCACCCTGCATAAATTCATTCATTTATAGTTCATTTACCTACTATAGGTCAATTATAGCATTGTTGTGAACAATGATGAGTTCTCTAGTAATGTCAGCAAATCCAAAATTGAGACAGCAGGATTAGATTTTGCCATGATTTTATGTTTGATTATTCCTTGCAGTTTCAATCATTTAAGCACCATTAAAAGTTTACAATCAGATTAGATGGTTCAAAACAGTCAAATTACATTGAATCTTGGCATCAACTAGTGAAGATAAAACACATTAGAAAAGTTAATTATTTTTCAAGTATTCCTTTCCTAGGAAGAGGACTTCAAAAGGAAAATTTTCTTTTAAGAAAGGACTCTGCAAAAGCTCGGAGCCAGTGAATGACTTTTCACAAAAGTACTAGCTTCTTAAAATAATTGCTCAGCAAGAGAAGCTAATAAAGAAACTTTCTTCGCATATTTACATTTAAACCGGGAAAGACTTGGAATTTAAACTCGGCAAAGCATATTTTAAAAATTCATTTAGAAGTCTTTCATGAAAAGCCCTTCAGTAGAAGAACATTCTGCAACAAAAAGCTGTGACAAAGCCCTAGGGCTTCTCAACCATACCGATTACTAGGATGTAATAGCACTTGTAGAGAATGTGAGACAATCCAAAACAACACGTAAAATCAATTGCAAGGTTTAATTCAATATTTGTATTTCATATATTTAATGATGATATTTTTTTTTTTTTTTTGAATTAGGATCTAATTTATGTTTAGTCAGGAGTTTAGGGGCTTAGGTTGCAATTTCAATTAGACTTTGTGAATTAGGTTTATAATCCATAGCGAGCACCCGTTTCTGATCGTCTTGTTTTTGGTTGAATTCATTAAAATATAAGATTTACTTCCAATTTGTAAATCCGTTCTTGCTTTGAAGTCCTGGGATGTATTCAAGGAATATAGATGATAGGGAATTAATCTCACGGGGTTGGATTTATTAGTTGAGACAAGCTTCAAGATTATCACACTACTTCAATCAATCTAGTTGTTGCAATGTCGAAAGGTCCAATCATTCTTGCAGTGCTGTCAGTTAATGGAATCGATATTTCTTTCACCAGAGACAATGAAAACATCAGAGCAATCCTTTGGGCTTGATTTTCAAAAGGTGAATTGCCGCAATATGAGATGTCGGGTGAAAATTCGGAGCAAGATTCGATGGAAAAGCTTCTTCAATCCGAGAAGAATGATGCAGTCCAAGACAACACATAAAAGCGTGTGAAAGCTTGGTTCAATTTTTAGTATTTCATTTATTTAATAATGATTTCCTTTAGTTTGTTAGGGTTTAATTCATATTTTGTTTGAGTTTAGGGACTTACAGTGTAATCTCGGTTAGACTGAATGAGGTCTATAAGATGTCATGGGCATCAGTTTGCGGTGTTCTTGTCCTTCATTACATTTATAAAAATATTGAAGTTTTTATTTTTCCAATTTATCAATCCTTTCTCCATATTCTTCGGAATCAAATGAGTTCGTCGATCCCGTGTTTATGGTGAAACTGCATCAAAAAACCTATGGTAGAGTTTGCAATAGTTTCTGCACACAATTATGTTAAAGCAAATTTACTGTCTCAACACCTTCAATAGATAAATATTTCCTACTGGCTGTAACGATAAGGTCACTAGATGAATATGGTTCAAATTTAGGAAAATATGTTTTAGAATCAAGAAAACAAGAAGAAATTTGGGTTTAATGTTTTTTAACATAGGAAAAATCTCATTTCCTCGTGTATGTGCAGATGCACATGGAGAGTTGGGGTTGTAGAGTTGGTGTGATAATATTCCTCAGTTTTATTTAAAGCAATTTAATATTTGATTCAGACAATAGCCTCCTGAGAGAAATAAATAAGAATTTCAAAGCTTTGTTGTCTCGGGAAGCATTGAAGCCTGCTTCTTCAAATTGGGTTTTCCAGTAAGTTTGTCACCAAATAATTTTAGATCCCACAAGGTTAAAATTCTAGTTCGGAACACATATCAGGTTGGGGTGGTGTTGGTGCATTTAATATTCCTCAGTTTTATTAAAATGAACTAAAAATTTAGTTTAGGAACTAGCCAATAAATGACCTTACGAGGATTGAGTGGGAACAATAAACACATTATGCCCTTGTTTGGTAGAGATTAAAATCAGATTTTTAGTAAATTTTGATAAAATTTGATGAGATGCGTGGTTGAAAAGTTGTGAGTCCCATGAAATGTGTAGTTAAAATTAATTGTTGACGTTGACTTGAAATTTTAATTGGATTTGAATCCAAACCAAACAGAGGTTAAATCAATTGTATTGCGATAGATCATCAACAACTAGTACTCACCACTCCATATCTGTAAAGTTTCATTTCCGCCACGACTTGAGTATGTCACCGGTTACTTAATGGTGTTTTCTACTCATGCCAATTCAACTTATTTTTGGCATCACTAAGTTAACTCCTTTTTAAGTGCTTGTCTGATAGTGGTAGTATTTATAAGTTGTAAGTCCTACGGAATGTGTGCATAATAAGTGGTAGTAAGTTGTGGATCAAAGTCACGTGGGACAATCCTATTACAAATAGGATATGAATTATTTATTGTAGTAGGATTTCGTTTCTTGTTAAATTAGAACTTTTTCTCTTTTTAAACTCTATTAGTTTTCAGTTTTATTTCCTTTTATGATGGTGTTCGTTGGTTGTGGAATGATATTCTGGCTTCACAACATATGAGTTGGGTGTTTCCAAATCGTATCAAGGAAGTGGTGTGGGCATGGAAGAGAAAGTTTCGAGATAAGAATAGCAAGTTTGTTTGGGATCTCATTCCAGGATGCATCGTTTGGTGCGCGTGGAGGGAAAGAAACGCAAGATGCTTTGAAGATCAAATACGGATGACAGAGCAATTTAGAGAATTGTTTTACTTGACTTTGTATAGTTGGTTTAAGGCTGCAACCGTTAATCCGATAGAAGGGTTTTCAAATTTTTTATCGTTTCTATCTTGTTTAACTTTATAATGCACTCCTTGTGTATTATCTTTTATTTCGATTTATAAAATTTACGTGATTACCTATCAAAAAATAATGATATTGTTACCTTACACCATTAAGATTAGGAATAGTTCTTTGTTTGCCTATATAAGAAGGGCCTGGGCTTCCTTTGTAATAATTAATTCATACAATAAAATTATTCTCTACAAATTTTCTATTCGACTTCACACCAAAACTGATATCAGAACAAGGTTTGGCCCTTAGCTGATGGCCATCTATGATGGTAATGGCATGCATCCTCACGACAACGTTTGGAGGATTGCAAAACAATCAACCACAGTCTAGAATACTTTGACAACTAAGAATATTGGTTACTTCAACAAGCCAAAAACATGGCAACAGGTGGCTAGAGATATTCCTCGAGTCCAAGCTAGGTTCAAATCCTCACAACGTCATGGCAGAAACTTTGGAGTATTTTACTCTAAATTGATTAATTTTCTCTTCTTTAACCAAACTCGAGGACGAGTTTTTTTAAGTGGGAAAGATTGATGTATGACAAGTATATTACAAATATGATAGGAATTATTTATTGTAGTAGGATTTTGTTTCTTGTTTAAATTAGGGCTTTTATTTCCTTTTAATTCTTTTAGGTTTCTTAATTTTACTTCTTTTAGGTTTAAGTTTTCTTTCCTTTTATGATATTATTTCCTTACACTGTTAGGATTAGGAGTTTAGGCAATTCAATACAATAAAGTTAATCTCTACAATTTTTCTAGTTTTTATCTTCTTGTTTCAAGAAATTTAATTCCGCTTCCACACCATTAAGCTTTGTCAAACCTGCTCTAACCAACCATGTTTCTTTTGTCCTGGTAATACTTGAAGAGGAAAGGATACTCATGGGTAAAGATCTAGTAACCATTTGAACATGCTATTGATTTATCTGTCCTTGATATCTAATGAAGAAATTGAAGTTTTGAATAATCTCAGGAGTTAAAATTGATTACAAAGACAATTTCGAAAGTAATCCCTGCACGTGGCAATGTTTACTAATGTAATGTAAAATAAAACTTCTGATACAAGAACTTACCTCGAGCAGTTCCCTGATTCAAGGTGTTTCCTAGAACTAAAATATTCTTCATGATTTCTTTCAGTTTGAGGGATTGCCGCACCTAATGCGCAAGGGAAAAATAAATTATTTCCATATACAGTAAAAAGAACAACAAAGATAAAATTCATTAGCGTGTCTGATGTACCTCTTCACAAGCAGAGTTTACAGTGTTCAAGCTTTTTTTGAAATCTGAAACCTGAGATAAAGGTCAAATTTAGAGACATGAGGAGGAAAACATTACTTTTCCTAAAGATTCATACATGTCTAAAAAACCTGAACATTGAACTGAATCTTGAATAAGAACACCCTCAATTTAGATTCCACTCGGGGCACCTTCATCAGTTCCAGAAAGAACTGAAAGATGGAAGGAGAAGAACATGTAATATGTAACCACTTAAGCAATATCACAGACAATATTAGCTAGGCAATATGAATACATATTTAGGAAGTACTTAATACACAATATAAATGCAAAATTTCCTAATTTCTTATGGAACACCTACTCTCCAACCGTATCACAGTTCTATTAATACAATTGTTGGCTATGTTCCTATAATAAACGTACCATGGTTAATGGTTATTGAATATCAGATACTTCCCATCGCTGACAAAAAAATTTTAACATCAGCCTGTGAAGCCAAGCTTCACATCTCTAACATAGAGGAAATATCTGATTGGATTACTTGAATCAACATATTACCAAGGGAACTCATAAGCCTACCATGTTGAGGGAAAACCTGCTCTACATGACAGTGGAGAAATGCACTTTGGGCTTGATATTTCACAGTAACTTATTTTATAGACATAACTTATGACAAAGCTAGATCTTGATGCCAAACTGTATTTGCACTAGATTCCTAAGCTAAACAATTTGTTTCCCCTTGGAGTAATGAGAACGTGACCTTAATTTTAGCTGGTCAAAAAATGGTTTCTCTCATCTACCATTTTCTTTACCCCATTTTAGCAAGTCAAGATATAGTAGAATCGCTTCAAAAGAAGCACATGCCCGCTTAGAAAGATCAAATAAAGGAACAAAAGACTGCAACCTATCAACACTATATTTAAATGACCAAAAAAAAAACAATCGCCTCATTTGGAACAATTATTTCTTTTCAAATCCAGAACTTCTACTCTTTCCTCCTTTCCCTCTCTCACCTCGTAGTATAACGAACTCTCCAGCCTCTCAACTTTGAACTTTTACTTCATAAAATTCAAGTCCTTGACCAAGCATTCATCCAGTTATCTAAAATAAAAATCACTAACTGTGATAATGGATAGATCTATAAAATGATGATAATAAACAGGACACCTCATGGTTAGAAACAAGCTTCCCATATGTCTTACTGTTTGTTTTGCTTTTTTGTGGTTATCCACCAAATAATCCCTTCCCGAAATCCTCAATGGCCTGGGTCAACCAGATTCACAACATTTATAACCAGCAATAGATAAACATTAAGGAGCTGCTTCACTGACCAAAAGCACAGAGCAGTTCCTAGTCAAACTGCTTGGTCACCTCCAATGAAAGACAATTCATGACAAACAACATAACTTCTACTTCAGTTCCATCAGATGAGAAGAACCTTTACCCTCTCACAATCTCCTTCAATTACAACACTCTATGAAAAATCAATAAGCACGTCATATTTCATCCAAGAGCCTAAAATGACTGCTTAAAAAGGACTATGCTTCAGCCTATGTGGGAAAAATCAAAAGCATGTATCAGGACTAGAGTTGGAAATAAACAGTCCAAATGCATGTGCCATGGGAAAAAGTGACATTTCTCCAAAGGTATACCCCTTCAAGATTGAGGCCACACTTGCACACGAAAAGCTAGTATTTTGCAGCTTCTAATCTGGGGCTCTCCAGCTGATGTCCTGGTAATAGGCTTTCATCCTATGTTGGAACAATAAATTAATAACATGAAATCCTAGTAAGAAACCATTGTTATAGAGAAGTTTGCTAAATATTCTGAGAACTGCCTGTTGTCGCGCCTGATATTTTAGAGACTGCTCGGAATCAAATATCAGAATTTTAACTTGAGAAGAGGCAGGGCCATGTGGGGATGTTGATGCAATTTGGTGCATTTGGAAAAAGAAAAACGTGTTAGTATGTTCAGAACCAAGTTACACCTGTCCATTTATCATAGACCAAATATATTTCATGGATTTTTCTGTGATATGTCATAGAATGCCTTTGGTGGGTTTTGGATGCAGGACCTCTCTTCATATTTTGGGTACTATAGAAAAAACAGCAATGGAAGAGTTCTCCGAGATATTGAGAAGATAGTTCTTGTATTCAATGAAATTTGCTAGAATTCATTGTGTTGCATTGATATGAAGTCTTGGCTACTATCATGCATTATTCATTGTTTGGGTAGTATCAAAGATGTATAGCTAAATAGTTGAAAACATGTGCGCATTTGATCTCCTTGGTGCACAAGCAATGGAATTTTCATACATGAAAAATCAAAAAGCACTTTCTTATCTCAGTAGCTGAAAAAACCCCAAACAATGTCCAAACAGCTTTCCAAGCATTTTCAGAAAACAATAGAAGGAACAATTCTTGTACCGATGCCAATAATATCCCTTCGAAGGGGAGAAAGTACTTGATCTCCAATCTAGGCTTCCAGCCTCGTCTTATTATTAAAATAAAATAAAATAAATCAATACTTGATGAAAAAATGATTAGCTTCAGTGAGTAAAATCCCTGAACGTATTCATATCCCACAAGCACAAATGTCATAAAAAAAATAGCATCAATTGTGATCCAGTTCACAGACCTGTTCACATTTCCCCAAATTCTCCTTGTTACCTGTGTATCCCTAAATAATTCATAATGACTGAAATCAATCAGAAGGGAGCCTTTTGAAAAATATAGACTGCAAAATATTTGAGCTAATGAAGCTTCACCGTTAGAAGTTCCATTTCTTCTTTCGTAGGACAGAACTTTATGAGATTTTCTACTTGATCAGCATCTAAAATTGATTCATCCATTGCAAGTGCTGCAGCCTATCAACACAGATCATCAAATGCCGTCATTTAAATATGAGGGGGGGGGGCCGCCAAGCAACAATGTAGAAGATTAAACAAAGCACTTGGACGGCATAACAAGTCCACCTATAGATTCTTGATAAGCATGTAAAAATCTTCACTGAAGACTAGAAAGAAATTTGATGCAGCAACAGATGTTTACCATAACTGGCCTGACCAATAAAACTATTTGGTTTCTGTTGGAAAACATGGTGCTAGAAGATCTGATTTTATTTCATATATTGAGTTCTTTCCTGATCTAGCATATGATTAGCTCAAGTATTACCCTAAAACCACTTTTTATCCACATATTTCGAGTGTCCCACAAGTATTACCCTGAAAACTGAAATCAAAATTCACGTTTTCTCATTCCTCAATGAATAATATACCCCAATTTACATTCTTTTATAGTACAACAATGCAAATAAGAAAGGAAAGCAATCTCCTAATTTAGGAGAATAATAATAACCTATCAATTTCTCTGTATAAGGAAAGATTTAGGTATCTTTCCATATCCTCGGTTTCCTGCCATAATATCGATTCTTACACTCTCCATCAAGTTGGACTATAAATATTGATCATATCCAACTTACCGATACAATCAATAGAGTTCTATTGAAACAACCCCTTGGTAAAGATATCTGCAATTTGTTTTTTTGTAGGGGCATACACCATGCAAATAACTCCATTTTCGACCTTTTATTTGATGAAGTATCTATCGATTTCTACATGCTTAGTGCGATCATGTTGAACAGGGTTGAGCAAAATGTTGATGGCTGCTTTGTTATCACAATATAGTTTCATTGGTAATTTCACTTTAATCCTCAATTCCTCCAAGAGTTTCTTCAACTACAGTCCTTCAAAAATCCCTTGTGCAGCTACTCTGAATTTTGTTTCGACACCGCTTCTTGCTACTACATTCTGATTTTTACTTCTCCAAGTTACCAAATTCCCCTTCTATCTTCCACTGATCCAGCCCAATCAGCATTTGTGAATATTTCTACTTCTTTCCTTTCATTCTTCTTGAATAATAGTCCATTTCCAGAGGTACCTTTTAAATAACTGAGAATCTTGTATACTGCTTCAAGGTGAGTTTCCTTCAGAGAATGCATGTATTGACTTACCACACTAATCGCAAATGTAATGCCGGTCTAGTGTGTGGTAGGTAGATTAACTTTCCAACCAGTCGTTGGTATCAACCGGGCCACCTGTGTCCTCTGTCCTTTTTCCACCATCAATAGGTGTCTCACTTGGTTTCCATCCAAGCATGCCAGTTTCAGTCAAAAGATCAAGAATGTATTTCCTTTGTAAGAAATTGATACCTCTTTTTGATCTTGTAACCTCCATTCCCAAGAAGTATCAAATTGGTCATAGGTCTTTTACTTCAAATTCAGAGGTTAGGCTTTTCTTTAGTCTGTCCATCTCAGTTTATCTCCCGTGAGGATTATATCATCTATATATATGATTAGAATTGTTATTTTCCCTCTCCGGGTGGTTGAAAGAACGTAGTATGATCCGACTGCCCTTGCTGATACCTTGATTCCTCAATACCTTTGCAAATCTATCGATCCGGGCTCTTGGTGACTGCTTAAAACCGTATAATGATTTCTTGAGTTTGCATACCCAATCTTCTTCATTCCTGTTATTGAAACCTGGTGGTATTATCATGCAAACTTCTTCTAGTTCTCCATTTAGGAATGTATTCTTAATATCCAGTCGTTGGAGGGGCCAAACCAAATTTGCAGCTAGAGATAAAAGAACTCGAATGGTATTTAATTTTGCCACTGGTACAAATGTCTCCATGTAGTCGATACCATAAGTCTGTGTATATCATTTGGTAACAAGACGAGCTTTATAACGCTCTATAGTCCCATCAGCTTTGTACTTCACATTAAAAACTCATTTACAGCCGACAGATCTTGTTCCTTTAAGTAACCTCACCGTATCCCAAATTCCATTTTTTCTAGAGCCCGCATTTCCTCCATTAACGCTTCTCTCCATTTAGGAATTTCTAAGGCCTCCTGGATGCTCCTTGGGATTTCTATATTTTCAAGATTGGCAGTAAAGTGGATAGAGCCTAATAAGACATGAATTTTGAGATAGGATGAGGAACATATGACCGTGTTTGTTTTCTGATAGCAATGGACATCTATCACTTGGAGATCCAGGTTTTTTAGATAAGTTTCATTAGGCCCCATCACCGGTTCAAACTCTTTTAATGCCTCAGGTGTGAGGTTCTCTTTGTACTTAGATTTTGGCCTTCTCGAGTAAACTAGTACCTCCTTGTCATTTTTGTTTTCCACATCTCCCCCAGATTTCAAGTTTCCTTCTATATATGGCATATTAGACATGATGTATTCAATATAGGTTGGTTCAGGAGGGGAGAAATCAAAGTTGGAGAACTCATCAAGGAAATGATCTTCACTCAAATTCTCCCCTTAAAGAGAGGGTTTTTGGAAGTAAGGTGTGTTTTCAAAGAAGGTGACCTCAAGGTTGACAAGTACTTTTTTTTGTGGATAGGTCATCACATTTATAGTCCTTGTGAGTAGGTGAGTATCCAATAAATACACACACGAGTGCACGAGGTCTAGTTTAGTTCGATGATGATGAAAGTGATCATGAGTAAAGGACATGCATCCAAACACTTTAAGGGACAAATTAGAGTTAATGCTGGAGGCTGGGAAGTGATTTAAGAATATTTGGAGGGGTGACTAGAAGGATAAGGTACGACTGGGCATCCTGTTGATGAGATATGTAGCAATTAGAACGGCATCTCCCCATAATAGTATTGGCATATTTGTAGTGAACATTAGTGCACAGGAAACTTCAAGGAGGTACCTATTTATTCGCTCTGCGATCCCATTTTATCGAGGGGTATTTGACACAAGAGGTTTGGTGGACTATCCCATGCTCTCGTAGATAATTCCTTAAAGTACTACTGAAGTATTTGGTGCCATTATCAATTCGTAGTATTTGAATCATGGTGAGAAAATTGATAAACACAGAGCTGACATTCGATTTTTCTTTTAGTAGATAGACCTAACAGACTTGAGTATGATCATCTCTAATGTAATAAACCATCTAGTGTGTGTGCGATTAGAAATTCGAAAAGGTCCCCATAAGTCACTGTGAATCATAGTAAATGATTTCGATGGTTTGTATATAGAATTTGGATAAGAGGTCCATTGGTGTATCGCAAGTTGACAATTTTCGCACCGAAAATCAGTAGATGTTTTATTCAAAAAAATCTAAGGAATTAAAGATTGCAATTTGACGTAGTTTACTCACATCAGCCTCTTCAAAGTGGTATAGCCCCTCACACTCTTTAGCACTGTCAATCATCTTCCTCGATGAAAGGTCCTGAAAAACGCAATGAGATGGAAAAAATTTAGCAGAGCAAGTGGAATCTTTAGTTAGTTTACTGATACGACAAATTTGGAACATAGAGGACAGATTCCAGTGTTATAGAGTAAGAGATTTTTATACTCCCTTCCCTTTTCCTGCAACACAGGAGAGTGACTCGTCTGCGATTTTACCTTAGCATTGTCAGCATAGGGTGAGTACGAAGAAAATAGATGATATGAATCTGTCATGTGATCAGACGCACCTTAGTCAATTATCCAGGGGATTTTAAATCTTGAGAATGTAGATAAGGCTCTCAAGAAGTTACCTTTATGGGCTAGGGAGCTTGAAGGACCGTTAGGAGGGGTCTGACTTGATGTTTGGAAACTAGAGAAAGTTTGGTATAGCTGTTCCGGTAGTTCGAGGTTGAATGCACCATTTTGAGTATAATTGATTTTTGACTCTGCTTGATATTCCGTGCTCCTATGCTCTGTTTTGGCTTCCAATCAACGAGTTTCCCGTGTAAATCCCAACAGGTATCTTCTTTGTGTCCCGGCTAATGATAATTTTCACACCAGGACTGATCGCGCTGTTGTTTTTGGCCTAATCCATTTATTGTCCCTTTAGAGGACATGCCCAAATTTTTAGGCCCATTATTTCTCCCACGCGTTGGCCCATAAGATATATCTTTTCCACTTATTGGGCCATTACTCGCTCGCCCAAATTTCCTCTCCACTGCTGGCCATTCCTTTTAGAAGATAACAAGGCCGACATTGCACTTAGACCGTGGAAATTTTAAAATAACATAATATGTCGCCCGGTTTCTTCTCGTCGGACTTCGAAGAAGACTTCGCAAATGGATGGTAGTGGTCGCTGGCCAAGTATCCGACCTCGATGTCGACCAAGTCGTGATTAAGGCCAACCAAGAACTCATAAACCCTTTCGTTCTCGAGTATCTTTTTATGCCAGGTACTATCGTCGGCACACTTCCGTTCCTCTTCGCTACTAAGGTCGAGCTCCTACCAAAGTGATGTCATCTCCATGATGTATTCAGTGACCTGCCTTACTCCTTGTTTTGCTTGCCACAATCGAGTCTTGATTTCGAAGACATGTGAAGCATTTTCGAAATCTGAATAGGTTTCTCTAACAGCCTCCCAAATATCCTTTGCAGTTGGAAGAAACAAGTAGGTTTTCTCCAAGCTGGTTTCATTAAGTTCACAAGCTAAGCGGTGACCATGGAGTTTTCCGATTTCCATTTTGGCAGGAGGTTAGCATCGGCAGGTCTCTTCGTTTCGCCAGTAAGATAACCAAGTTTGTTCTTACCATCAATCACCAATTTTATTGACTATGTCCATTCACGATATTTTTTCCTTTCAACTTCTCGACTAAGTTGAAACGAGGAGCTTTCGAGTCCATTAGAACCAATTACGGGGTTGTTCTCTGTTTCGACTTAAAGTTGTCAGAGGTAACAAACCCCGTACTATTTTCGGGGAATCTACCATGGATTACTAGTTAGATGAACCTGGCTGGATCTGATACCATGAAAACTGAAATCAAAATTCGTGTTCTCTCATTCCTCAATGAATAATATACACCAATTTACATTCTTTTATAGTACAACAATGCAAATAAGAAAGGAAATCAATCTCCTAATTTAAGAGAATAATAATAGCCTATCAATTTCTCTGTTTAAGGAAAGATTTAGGTAACTTTACATATCCTTAGTTTCCTACCATATTCTCGGTTTCCTACATACCCACTTATCCATCACCCATTTTTATCTATTTATAATTCATACCATCAATAAACACTTCCTAAACATGCTTTGAGCTTAGTCATATCTGCTAGAAATATTTTCACTTTGATTGTAGGATATAAATAGATAGTTCCTTGTTTAAATAGGCTAGTCATTTCTCGCATTGTATATATTACTGTGCTTATTTTCAGAGAATTAAGGTGAATAAAGTTTCAATTCTGAAAGCCTTCAGTTGCAATTTTTGTTTTCTTAGTGTTATTTGATTATGGAGATCTGTTGCTTGCTCTTATGTTCATTCGATGGAATATGCTCAAGGCATGCAGTTCATTAAGGGTACCGTCAACCTTTTTGCCCATTTATGGAAAACAGGCTTTCCATCCTTTATTAAGGACTCTGACATCATCACTGTAACAACTACACAGCTAATACAAAAGCATATTTGACTTTTTAAGCTCTCTTGTTGCTTGTTTCTCGTGGTCCTTCATTGTTACTTTTACATGTTACTTTTTGCTTCCTCTGCTTAAGAATTGAAAATGAGTGCCCAATCAACATTCACATGTTCTGTGTGCATACGCATATATGACAATCTTAAATAGAGGACGTATCAGCAATTTTTTTTTTGATAACCGTGGATGTCCGGACCAGCTTGCACGCACCTCGACTAATTCCACGGGGCCCTGAAGTTTACGGCCGGGTACTCACCTCGGTGGCCCTGAAGGGACTCGAACTGGTGACCATTGGGGAGTAAACTCAAGGCCTGACCAATTGAGCAACCCCTCAGCGTTCAGAGGACGTATCAGCAATTAAATAAATGTACAACACAAATCCAATCTTATAGGAAAATTTTTAATTTGTATGCTTAGTTCAGGGGTGAGGATCAGGAGAAGATTATTCATATCAAACAAACAAGAAAAAGTACTCTCAGAAACATATCAAAGATGCCAAACCCTGTCAATGGAGAGAACCAAAATTTGCACTGGCAGATCAACGGAGTAAAAAGTTGCAGGCAAATATGCACCTGTCTCTTACCATAATGTCAGGAAGTGGCATTTTCACCTTTGTGAGCATAATTTCGGTGTTGTTAACCCTCCTTAGGTCAATCTACCATGAGAATATGTACAGTTACAAAATGGAAATTAAGCAGGGTGCAAGCTAAGTTCCTAAAACAAACTTCAGAAAATTTCACATGAAAAATCTTAGAGCATCCAATGTTGATAGCTGACGATAAAAAAGAGCCAGAAAAATGTACTATTCGGCAAAATCAAACAAAAAGGGTGCACAAGACTACAAACTTTTACGTGTCATCAGACAGTTTATGCCCCTGTTTGGGCTCCATTTTTATAAAAACTCATTTTTTCACCACTCATTTTTAACCATACATTCTCTTGTATAATAATTTTACACGTAAATCGAAGACTTTTTTTTATTTTTTAACCACACATTCTCCAACTTTTTACTATTCCAAAATACATTCTCTTGAAAAAATGGGGCCCAAACAAGGGCCATATCCATCACACAATCTACAGTTCTACACGTTCTCTCTATCTTCTGCAATATTAGTAATTCTATCAACAACGGAACCCACACATCTTCAGTTTTTGTCACCATGGAGAATATTCACAAGCCCTGATATTCTGTTCTCAGTCATCAGTTCTATTGTGCTAATTTGAAATGTGCATAAATTATATGTAATATTCAAAAAAAGGATATGGTTCTATTGTATCAATCACTCTACTATCAAAAACAAAACATCATCCTACCATATTACACAAGTACATGTATCATCATTCACTAGTCTGTTCACTTGGCAGAAAATGGATTCTTGAGAACTTAAACAGAAATTCAAACTCTCAGGAGTTCTGGACAGCAATAATATGACAGGGTTGTTTTTTCCATCATTAAAATTAACTTTAAACGGTCATATACAGTTTGAGGAAATCTCAAGCTATTTGATTTATGATTTCTCACATACGGTTGATTATTAATATTAAAAAATTCAACAAAGAGCAGGACGCATATGTGCATTTGTAGTTGTTATGGAGATTTTAGAATTCCTATTGACACACAATTTTAATGACTACTGAAATTTTAGAACTCATATAGAACCACCTTTCCGGTATTATTAAGATTTTTTAAATTCTGATTTAAATTTTATCTCAAATCCCAAAAATGTAAATAAGAGAAAACAGTTTCTAAATCAAGAATTGGATTTATATTACATTACCAGATGGACTATGTCAGGTTTAGATCCAACAGATTTCCTACGCCCTCCAGACTTGCCTCCTGTGCTGTTGGATTTTGGGACTGTGGCAGAGAAAAGATTCTCAAGTTCTGACACGTCAAATTCTGGTGCACTAAAATTAAAGAGCAAGACATCAGTAATTTACAAGAATCAAAAAGCCGAGAAAAAGAACTCAAATTCAATGCAAAAATATATGCACCTATAAGGATCTTGCATTCCTTTTTTTGAAATAAGTATTTACTCAAAGAACAAGAAATGAAAGACTAATTACTCAAATAAGGGGAAGCCTCAACTAATTTACTGAATACCATAGAGTTAAACAGAGAGAATAACGAAGAAAAACAATTGATCCTGTAATTCTAATCCGGAAAATTAAATCAGGATAGAAAGGGCAGTACATTTGAGGCTCTCCATGACTCTGCAATTCTTCCCACAAGCTTCCTTGCAATGCCCTAGTCACTTTGCTCCAATGCAGTGGCCTTAAGGTAGATCTTCGAGTTGCAGTTGACATCCCAGGAAAACGTGAAAGTCCATGTCCTCCCCCAGCTGGCGGCGGCGGCCCTCTCCCAGGTCCTTTCGTACCTAATGGTGGAGGTGGGGGAGGTGCACCACCTGGAGGTCCTGGAGGAGCAGGAGGGCCTGGTACGCGACCTCCAGGAGGGGATGGTGGAGGGGGAGCACCTCCCGGAGGTCCTGGAGGTGCAGGAGGGCCTGGTACACGACTTCCAGGAGGAGGTGCAGGAGGGCTTGGTACACGACCTCCAGGAGGGGGTGGTGGAGGGGGTGCTCCACGCATGGGTGGAGGAGCGGGCAGTATGCCACCAATTGTAGGAGGTGGTGGCGGTGCTGGGGCCCCATGCATTGGAGGAGGCAGAATTTGTACTCCACGTGGAGGAGGAGGTGGAGGAGGAGGGGGTGCTCCACGCACTGGAGGTGGAGGAGGAGGTGATGCTCTAGAGGGTGGAGGTGGAGGTGTTGGTGCACCACAAGGAGACGATGATGGTTGCAATGGAGTGCCAGGGAAAGGTGGTGGAGGTGGAGTGCCATGTGAAGGAAAAGAAGGGACTCCACAAACAGGAGGACGTTGTGGTGGTGGTGGGTGGGGTGGGGCTTTAACACAAGGAGCAAGTGGGGGGGAGGAAGGTGTTCCAACAACCGATCGTTGAGAAGATGATGCATGAGGAGGAGGAGGAGGTGGTGGTGGTGGTGGTGGTGGTGGTGGAAAACTCAATATTGCTGAAGGTGGATGCAAAGAAGTACCAACAGACCAAAGATGTGGCGGAGGCGGCGGAGGCAATACTCTACTAGCATTCTGCAAACTAGAAGAGGTGGAATGTGGGCGTGAATGGGGAGGAGGTGGGGGATAAATTGCCTGTGGAGTTGCTCTTAAGTGTCCAGTGATAGAAGGCGAGGGTGGAGGTGGAGGTGAAGGTGGTGATTTTGTAAAATCTGCACTTCGAGAAGATAACGAGGGTGATGGGGGTGGGGGTGGGGGTGGAGGTGGAGTTGGCAAAGTAGAAACAGGTGTAATACTTGTAGATGACAGTGGTGGAGGTGGAGCTGGAGGTGGAGGCGGAGGCGGTGAAGTAAAAAATGCATGATTAGATGACAGGTGTAGAGG